TAGAGGTGCTATTATAGTGCGCTATATACTATAGTATAAATTATAAGTAGACTCTTCTAACTACTAAGTATAGCTATATATACTACGATAGGTTATACTACCTATAGAACCTTATACTATTATAGCTAATAGTAGTGGTAGTAGTAGTAGGAGTATTAGCCTCCGCTTAGTACTACCTACTAGAAATCTAATTTACTAGTAACATTTAATTTGCTATATAGGCCTCTAACCGTATACTAATTATATAGGTTAACCTACTATTTGTCGAGATATAGTTAATACTATAAGGAGCTATAACTAGCTAGCAATAGTTAATACCTGAATAGTAACTGCTCGCCTATCGGATTAAGTATATACGTTATATTCGCGTTAGACTTTGCGATACTCGTTAAATATTATTATAAATCTAAGCGTTTATAGAGGCAAAATATGTAGCTAGAACTAGGCAATAGTTCAGATTAACACACTATTAGTCGAGGTGTAGCTCAATTTAATTTACTATATAGTATTATATTTAGTCTAGTAGCTATTAATATACTAGGTATCTATCTTAGATCTTAGGTAGATAAAATATTTAGAAGGTTATAATTGTAACTCTTAAGCCTATAGGTAGCCTATATAGACTAGAATAGTCCTTAGGTTACCTTGTATTCTCCTGTGTAGAAACCCTTTTTCTTCGGGCCTAGAGGCTAGTAGATAAAGCTTAGGTCCCTTCGTATTAGAATACTAGTTATACTCCTAGTGCTTATTTAATAGGTTTTAAGTTACTATCTATAAGATACTACTAGTATTCCTATAAAGTCGTCTAGTAATATACCGGCTCTGCGTTCTTTAGTACTCCTAATAGTATAAGGTTTTATTCTATTTTTATAATAGACTGTTACTAGTATATATTAGTAGGATAACGAGTCGAAGGCTAATTACAAGTATACGAAGATATACCTAGTATATTAGTTTAAGTGTTATATATAACGAGATTATAGTAGAGTACTCTATTAGGGTCGAACAAGACATACTAAGTATATGCGCAGACACATGCCTATACGTTTGCGTATATCGGATCGGGAGACCGGCAATCCCGGATACGAAGATTCTATTATGCTAGGATTATATATCACGCTAAGTAAGGATATAATATCTTTGCGCTTTTCTATACGCTCGAACCCTCTTCTTCTTTCTCTACTATAAACTACTCGTACGTATTAGACCTAGAGCCCTCTATATATACCTATGCGCATTCCTAATCCGCTTAGTACTAGAATTAATTCTAGTGTTTACATATACATCCGCACAAAGCTATACGCATAGCAGTCGACTATGCCGTAGGACATTAAGGGCTACGTATTCCCGAGCTCGCTCGTTAACGGTAGCGTAAGTACATTCCTATAGCTATACGTCGCTATATACTAATGCGCAAACAGAGCAGCTACCGCAAGTACAAAAAGCGTCTGCTTAGTAGCGAGCTAGTCCCTCTACTAATTCTAGATATCGTCGTAAGCATTCTTCTGCCCTTACCTATCTATATACTTATATATATAGACATGCCTAAAGAAGAAAGTGCCCGCTATTCGCCTTTTTATAGGTGAGGTCGTTTGTCGTATACCGGCTAGTACTAAAAACTAGAGTCGATTTATCGACGCTACGGAGGATAACGGGTATAGTTATACTATTACGTATATCTATGTATAGCACTAATCTCTATAGTAATAAGAGTTTAGAGGATATATACGACGAGGAGGGCATGTATTATATATAACCTAGCCTTCGCGTATACCTATATGTTCTGCTAATACTTGCGTAGATAATATACCGCGATATAAGGACACTCGCGACGCATATTTAGTACGGGGTATATATTGTCCTCGAATAGATCTACTTATACTTATACCTTTATAGTATAGCGGCGTCGTCGAAGAGGGACGTAAGGAAGATAGCAAGCGGGATACCGGCGGTCGCTATACCCCGGAAGACAAGTTGAAGCGCTATATAGATATAGCTATGCCTATACATTTGCCTATTAATTCCTATTAACGAGCCTTAGAATTCTACGACCGCCTCTAGGAGATGTACGAGGACGAGGCGCGAGAGTATACGTAAGTCTACGATTATAGATATGCGTATTCTAATACCTATCTAGCAAGGGTCCCTCTAAGGCGACCTCGAAGAAGGCCGATATAGGTAGCGACGAGACTAGCGACGAGGGCAGCGACGAGACTAGCGACGAGGCTAGCGACGCGGCTAGCGACTAGACTAAGAACGAGGCTAAGAGCGAGGCTAAGAACGAGGCTAAAAGCAAGGCTAAGAACGAGGCTAAAAACAAGGCTAAGAACGAGGCGAAAAGCAAGGCTACCGATATAGCTACCGATAAGCCCTCTACTAAAGGTCCTAAGACCCCGACCGTAGTTATTAAGTCGTCTACGGAGGACGAGAACGAGGACGAGGAAATGGATTCTAGGTCTAAGCAAGGGTATATGCTTAGATATAGTTATAGAGACTTGTCGCCGCTAATATATATAGCAAATTCGAGCTTATACTTGCCTCGAAGTCTAGCAGGGTAAGTATAAGGCTAGCCTTATCTATACTTATACTAATGCGCGTAGGTCAATAGGACGCTTACAAATAACGACTTTAAAAGGCGCTTCCCTAATATAGCCGTACTCTGCAATACTTATAAGGCCGCCGGTACGAAGACGAGTATACCTATCTATCCGTTTTAGTCTGTTAGTATACTAACGGATGTATAGACTGCAAATAGGGTAACTATACCTACGAGAATATAAAGGCATACGTACTCTAATCTATAGCTACACCTACGCGTATAGACAAGAGTACCGCAGGGCTCGTACCGGGGAAAGGGATTCGTTAGAGAATTAGATAGCTATGCGTATATAACCGGTTATAGCTATAGCTCGCGCGTTAATTTAGCTTTGCGCTAGCTAATGTTTGGCTTAGCGGCGGTAAGAGTATATAGATTAACATCCTATAGCGTTTAGTATATAGTAATTTATATATAAACCTATACGCCGACCTATGCGTATAGTAAAGTTCATACCACTGCTTATAGTATAGCTCGTATATAGAGGCATAGCTAACGTTATACCATTTTCCGCAACTTCTTTAATCGCTAAAACGTACTTTAGCTAGCGTCGACCGAGCTAGCAGCGGGCAGCGGGAGTTTTATACATACGGCTATCGCTATGCTTATACGTCTAGCTATAGCTCTGTTTACTCGATACCCTCTCTAACGACGCGATAGCAGGCAGCTAAGATGTATTGGCATAACTATAGACATATCTACGCCTATAACTCTGCTTACCTAGCGGACGGCTATTGCCGGGGCGCTAGCCCCTTTACCGAACGAACAGAAGGAGCGCTATATGTTTAGCCAATGTCTCGCGCATATCTACGCATAAATAATGCTCTAGATCTGCGTATCTTTGCTATTTCTTTAATATACAAAGTATATAGTTTAAGTTATATTCCTATATAGTAGAATACCCTATGCTATTTTTTATTAATTCCTATTTATATATATTAATAATACTCTATACTATTATAATTTGCGTTGTTACTATCTCTCTCTCTCTCTAAATTTTCTCGTTATATATATTAATAGAAATATAATCTCTACTACTATTATTCTAGTTACTGCCCCTCTCCTAGCATATAAATGTCTTTAGGTATGCGCAGAGGCAACACTGTAGCTATGCATCCGTTCCTCCGTTTTAGTAATAAAGGCTTAGTATTATTTAATATTAGTATAAGACTATTACGCTAGTGTAATATAAAGGCATACCTATATACTAGCGATTAGGCACTCCCTATTCTATGCGAGACACTATATAGGTATGTATAAATCTCCTGCTATAGATATGCGCCCCTTCTCCCGTTTTAGTAATAAAGGCTTAGTATTATTTTATATTAGTATAAGATTATTACGCTAGTGTAATATAAAGTAAATAGTTTAACTTGTTTACCTATATAGTAGAAGACCCTATATATATATAGCTAAAAAGATCTTTTTATTTTTCTTTAGATTTATACTTATTAATAATACTCTATACTATTACAATTTGCGTTATTACTATATCTCTCTCCCTCTAAATTTTCTCGTTATATATATTAATAGAAATATAATCTCTACTACTATTATTCTAGTTACTACCCCTCTCTTAGTATACAGATGCCTTCGGGTATACGCAAAGGCAACGCTGTAGCTATGCATCCGTTCCTCCGTTGTAGTAATATAATTATTATAGTTAAACCTTAGTTTTGTCCTACTTTATTATCCCTTTACGCATACCTATGCACTAGCGATTAGGCACTCCCTATTCTATGCGAGACACTACATAGGTATGCACATATCTCCTACTATAGATATGCGCCCCTTCTCCCGTTTTAGTAATAAAGGCTTAGTATTATTTTATATTAGTATAAGATTATTACGCTAGTGTAATATAAAGTAAATAGTTTAACTTGTTTACCTATACAGCAGAAGACCCTATATATATATAGCTAAAAAGATCTTTTTATTTTTTTTAGATTTATACTTATTAATAATACTCTATACTATTACAATTTGCGTTGTTACTATATCTCTCTCCCTCTAAATTTTCTCGTTATATATATTAATAGAAATATAATCTCTACTACTATTATTCTAGTTACTGCCCCTCTCTTAGCATATAGATGCCTTCGGGTATGCGCAAAGGCAACGCTGTAGCTATGCATCCGTTCCTCCGTTTTAGTAATATAATTATTATAGTTAAAGCTTAGTTTTGTCCTACTTTATTATCCCTTTACGCATACCTATACACTAGCGATTAGGCACTCCCTATTCTATGCGAGACACTACATAGGTATGCACATATCTCACGCTATAGATATGCGCCCCTTCTTCCGTTTTAGTAATAAAGGCTTAGTATTATTTTATATTAGTATAAGATTATTACGCTAGTGTAATATAAAGTAAATAGTTTAACTTGTTTGCCTATATAGTAGAAGACCCTATATATATATAGCTAAAAAGATCTTTTTATTTTTTTAGATCTATACTTATTAATAATACTCTATAGCTATTATATTTTATGTTATTACAATATCGCTCTCTCTCTAAATTTTCTCGTTATATATATATTAATAGAGATATTATCTCTAATATAATTATTATAGTTAAAGCTTAGTTTTGTCCTACTTTATTATCCCTTTACGTATTATTCTATATAAGACACTACATAGGTATGCACATATCTCACGCTATAGATATGCGTCTGTTCTTCCGTTTTAGTAATAAAGGCTTAGTATTATTTTATATTAGTATAAGATTATTACGCTAGTGTAATATAAAGTAAATAGTTTAACTTGTTTACCTATATAGTAGAAGACCCTATATATATATAGCTAAAAAGATCTTTTTATTTTTTTAGATCTATACTTATTAATAATACTCTATAGCTATTATATTTTATGTTATTACAATATCGCTCTCTCTCTAAATTTTCTCGTTATATATATATTAATAGAAATATTATCTCTAATATAACTATTATAGTTAAAGCTTAGTTTTATCCGACTTTATTATCCTATTACGTATTATTCTATATAAGACACTACATAGGTATGCACATATCTCACGCTATAGATATGCGTCCGTTCTTCCGTTTTAGTAATAAAGGCTTAGTATTATTTTATATTAGTATAAGATTATTACGCTAGTGTAATATAAAGTAAATAGTTTAACTTGTTTGCCTATATAGTAGAAGACCCTATATATATATAGCTAAAAAGATCTTTTTATTTTTTTAGATCTATACTTATTAATAATACTCTATAGCTATTATATTTTATCTATTATATTTTATGTTATTACGATATCGCTCTCTCTCTAAATTTTCTCGTTATATATATATTAATAGAGATATTATCTCTAATATAATTATTATAGTTAAAGCTTAGTTTTATCCGACTTTATTATCCTATTACGTATTATTCTATATAAGACACTACATAGGTATGCACATATCTCACGCTATAGATATGCGTCCGTTCTTCCGTTTTAGTAATAAAGGCTTAGTATTATTTTATATTAGTATAAGATTATTACGCTAGTGTAATATAAAGTAAATAGTTTAACTTGTTTGCCTATATAGTAGAAGACCCTATATATATATAGCTAAAAAGATCTTTTTATTTTTTTAGATCTATACTTATTAATAATACTCTATAGCTATTATATTTTATCTATTATATTTTATGTTATTACGATATCGCTCTCTCTCTAAATTTTCTCGTTATATATATATTAATAGAGATATTATCTCTAATATAATTATTATAGTTAAAGCTTAGTTTTGTCCTACTTTATTATCCCTTTACGTATTATTCTATATAAGACACTACATAGGTATGCACATATCTCACGCTCTAGATATGCGTCTGTTCTTCCGTTTTAGTAATAAAGGCTTAGTATTATTTTATATTAGTATAAGATTATTACGCTAGTGTAATATAAAGTAAATAGTTTAACTTGTTTGCCTATATAGTAGAAGGCCCTATATATATATAGCTAAAAAGATCTTTTTATTTTTTTAGATCTATACTTATTAATAATACTCTATAGCTATTACATTTTACGTTATTACGATATCGCTCTCTCTCTAAATTTTCTCGTTATATATATTAATACAAATATTACTTATCTCTACTACTATTATTCTAGTTACTACCTCTATTCTGTATACGGCTGCGTATAGGTATGCGCATACCTTACGCTTTAGGCATGCGCCTACATTTCCTTTTAGTAATAAAGGCTTAATATTATTTCAATATTAGGGTAATTTTAGCCTAGTTTATCTACCCTTTGAACATACCTATGCGCTTACGATAAGGCTCTCCCTCGAGTTATGCCTATACATATATGCTCGACTATGTCTATATACGTAATATATGCCAAAAAGATGTTAATACAACCTATATATATAGCTATCTCCGACCCTCTCTTAACTAGCGAGCTATCTCGTCGTATATCTGTAGCTGCGCCCGTAGATACTCCGCCTATAAACTAGCGATCTCTGCTAGTATTAGCGGATATATTAAGGTAGGTTGTATAACCGGAGGCATTAAGGAAGGCATTGTCGCGGCTATTAGTATAGCTATTAGAGGCTGCATTAGCTATCCTATCGGTAGCTACATTAGCTGTCCTATCGGTAGCTGCATTAGCTGTCCTATTAGGGGCTGCATTAGCTGTCCTATCGGTAGCTGCATTAGCTGTCCTATCGGTAGCTATATTAGCTGTCCTATCGGTAGCTGCATTAGCTGTCCTATCGGTAGCTGCATTAGCTGTCCTATCGGTAGCTGTATTAGCTGTCCTATCGGTAGCTGCATTGGCTGTCCTATTAGTAGCTGTATTAGCGGCATTGTTAGTAGCTATATTAGCTATCCAATTATCGGCTAGTTATAGCTAGGGACAATTCGGGTTTGATCTTGAAGTTGAATCCTGTCTCGAGACATATCTATAGGCGTACCTATAGGCGTTCCAATGCGGCTAGGTCCTAATATAGCGGTATTAGTAACTAATCTCTAGTTTCCCCTTTCTCTAGGCGTAGGAACGCGTAAAGGTAGAGGCATACTTTCCGTGCTCGCTCGCTTTCGTCGCCGGCTAGTAACCTCTAGTTTAGGATCCCGGATAGGGATTATATATAGGCGAATCCTAGGTAGTAGGCTTAGGCGTTATAACGGTCGTAGGGCGGGCGTAGGGCTTAGACTTCCGGTTAGGCGTTATAACGGTCGTAGATGTAGCGGTAGGCTAGGCTCGATATCCCGTAATTGTAAACGTGTTTCCTATTCTAGGAGGGTCCTCCGGGTAGGAATTATTCTAACCTAAGCTCTAGCGGCGCGATGCGTATTATTGACCCTAGTAGTGCGCTTATCCTTACTATTACTCCTATGCTTATAGAGATTGCTAGAGGCCTGCTCTTAGTACGCTAGCCTTATAGCCTTTTCCTGTCTACACCTAGTCTTCTTTACAACTACGGCTATTAGTACGGGCATAAATCTGCTAATAGGTAGCTCTTACCTTGCTTCTATAGTGCCCTCTCGTATCTAGACTAGATAGAGACATTTACTAACGTATGCTTTACGCGGTAGTCGGTCTAACCCTAGAACTAATCGATATCGCGTATATCTATAGTCGTAGCTCTAGAAATACCTATTATTAAAGGTAGGTCGGTTCCGAATAAGTATAACTTATATCCCGTCTGTTTGTTAGCATTTGTATCCGCCCGTCTGCTTCTATATATGTCCTTGTTTATAAGCGTATACTCGGGGTTAAGCGCGGCTATAATAACATCGTTTTTCTTATTCGTCGCCTAGTTACGGAGATCTTTGTTCCGGGACCCTGTATATATTAGCGAATGTCTATAGCTATATATATAGACGTACGTTAGAGGATGCCGATAATCGTATAGTACTCCTACCTGCTCGGAGCGTCGATAAGGGATAGTATATCTTCTCGCTCTTTTATAGTAACCCTACTATGCTATTTGCTTATAACCTTGTCTACGTTCCTAATAAAGTGTACACGACAGAGCATAAGTATATGCTGTAGGTAATACTCCGCTATATAGAGGGGGTCGATTTCGTATAGGTAGAGACTAAGGCCTATAGGTTAGTATAGGTACGGGCATAGGCTAGGGCATAGATACTAGTATATTAGCACCCGAGCTGATCGACTGCGATACAGTGCTACCCGTCCGTATCCCCGTAGATATATGCCTACCTATATCTGCCTATACCTACGACAGCCGCTAAGGTCGTAAATAGGCGCTTCTATACGAGATAATATATCCGATTAGTATTCTTCTCGTTGCAGATAACCCGAGCTAAGGTGAAGACTATCTTGTTAGCAGGTATATAGCTATAGGTTAGCCTATATATACGCTTTCTATTCTAACCTAACTCAACCGCAAAGATAACCTCGTTTATATTAGATCCTACGATACGTTTATAGGACATATCGACGTCGAATAACTAGAGAGACGTAAAGATCTCTACTTGTTCCCTATAAAAGCATACTACTGTCTATATACCTATAGGGGAGATATATACGTCTTGGATGTATTGCTACTAAATTAGCGTATGTTAGCATCTATAGCTATAGATAAGGACGTATAGTCTTCGGGTTGAGTTTCTGCTATTTGTATGCCTATTCTACTATATTAATATCGCGAAGGTAACTATACTCTATATGCTTAAGCTTTACTATTATCGTAGTTAAGCGCGAAGTATTGTTTAAAGCAACATAGAGCTTAGTAAGTAATAGTACCCCTTTTTTATTAAGGAACTGCTACAATATCGGATAGACCTAGAATCGGGCTAAGGACTACGTAAGCGGAAGTCTATAGGTATAGCTATATATATACCCGTTATTAGGTCCGGCGAAATGCACTTCTTAATCAATTCCTTTAGCTCTTCCTTAATAAGAGTAGGGACTTTCGTCGGAGGGGGTAGTATATACGTATATTTGCCCCGAGATACGATTATTATATAGGGCGTCCTTATAGGATCGCGCGGGACGATAAAATCGAACTTAACCTTACACTCTTACGTAACGAGCTTGCCCTACCCTTATAGGTAATCGACTTCTACGCGGTGTTAGCTAATCTATGCCTATAGGTTTAGACGTACCTACGGCATGTCGTATAAACTACCTTTGTCGGCTTAATAACCGTATAAACGTTAGTCGGACCTACTAGTAGATTTTGGAAGAAGTCCTTAAGTATATCGATTAACTATTTCCCTTCTTTTAGAATAACTTAGCGGAAGCATAATAGTCGTAGGTGTGTATAGTAGTTAGTATATACGAGTGAGTACTAGTAATAACTAGCTAGCGTCTATACAGTTAGCTATAGATATGCCTATATATATAACCAATTACTTATAGGCGTCTCTGCCTCCTCGTGCGTTAAACTACAATCTTCGCGTTAATCGTCGTAGGCTTTTCTCGACCGGAATCCTGCTTATACTACATGCTAAAGCCTATGCCCGTAGGTTAGTACTCGGTAAACTATCTAACTACGGATATATATACGCATGTGAGTTCTCTACCTAGTATTGCGTCTCTTCTCCTCTTAGTACGAATATCCTTACGAGCGGAGGTATAGAATTAACCCTCTAGTTTAGGTACTCGTCCGTAAGGCGATAGTGCGTAGCGCCCTCCCGGAGATATAAGCAAGCATATTAACATATCTTAACACCGCTACAATTCTTCCGTACCCGAATATAAGATACGCTATTAAAGTACGACGCTTTAGTTTCCTTCGGGGAATAGGGCTGCCTTGCCCTATATTGCATCTAATATATATTAGCATATATATAACAATATACACGCCTATATATACTCTATATTTAAGAACGGCCGGAATCTTTATAACGTTCTCTAGGATAAGATCGGTATAGTTATAGTAATCCGCAAGTAGAACGATATATATATAGCTATAGTTATAACTACTTAGGTATTCTAGTATCGTAGCAATATGTTCGATATGCTTAACAGAAAGCGGGGCATATATAGCATTTGTAATAAGGGTAGGCCCGGGTCGAGGAAGTAGCTAAGTCTTATTAGAAAGTATAGGCATACTATTAGCTATAGCTAAGCCTATAATATTGCTTTCTAGCTGCTTGTCTTCTATAGCCTCTAAGGCGATGCGATCTTCTTCCGCAAGCATTCCTAACGTAAAGACATTAGAGGCCTATATCTCGGTAAGCTAAAGGATATATATATCTATATACTTATATATACGCGCTCGTTAATAGACTCGGTATACGAGATAAGCTTATTAGAATATTTATATTTATAATCTTCCTATATATAGGGAAGAAAGGTTAATAGAGTCTCTATAGCTTTAGTCGGTACTTTAGATAGTAGTTTTGTTCGGTACTCGTAATCTATATAGTCTAAGAAGCGGGCATTCGTATAGTAGAAGGAAAGGGAAGGGAAAGAATTAGTCGATTAGTAGGAAAGTAGATGCGTAGGCGCTAATTTGCGGCTAACCATATATACGGTTACGCATAGACTCGGCTATACGGACGTTGGTCAACTCCGCTTTTAGCGTGGTCAACCGCAGATTTCTCTGGTCCTGGCTGGTCGAGCTCGTGACGGCATGAGGCTCTGCGCGAGTCGGGCGCGAAGCCGAAGCCGAAGCCGAAGCCGAGCTGTCTTGTCTTGTCCGTGCGCGAAGTTTGAAGCAGCTTTCGATGAACTTTTGATCGTGTGCCATCTGTTACATCGAACCAACATCACCAGCGCACGACCATCCTAATCGAAATTCGAATTCCAGCGTCTCCATCTCCGTATAAAGTCCCCCCTCGTCAATATGGTCAAGCTCGAGGAGGTTCCCGATGAGGAGCTCTACGCACCCCAGCAGGGCCCAAAGGACGACGAGGATGAGTGGGACACAGATAGCGGTACGCATTGCGTAGCAACACGAAGCCTAGCGTCATTGCATGCTGACGAATATTGGCAGAATCGGAAGTTTCAGATGATGATGATTATGATGATGAGAGCCTCGACGAATCACTGCTCGACCGAGTATATGCATTGAAAGACATTGTCCCGCCGACATACCGCAAGCACGTCTCCAATGTCGCATCGACAGGCTACAGCTGGGTATCAAAGAGTGCGAGCTTCAGTGGAAAGGCAATTTGGGTCATCAGCACGAGCGCGCTGCTGTTGGGAGTACCGTGGGCACTGGCGTTCAGCGAAGAGCAGCAGGTGCAGGAGATGGAGAGGGAGATGCGCATGCAGCAGAGCGCGAGTGAGGTGAGTTCGATGAACAGTTGACATAGCGATTGAATTCGCGTTGGCTGTTGCATGCTAACACTATATGACAGCTCCTTACAGCAGGCGCCAAGCCAGCTTTGTAAGAATCTCACGCATTGCACAGAAGCACCGCATATTTCACGCATAATGAGCAGCGGATATTGCGCTTGTATTATACTACTCTGCTCAAAAGATAGACAGGTCGATCCAAATGCTGCCCTGAATCCTTTCTCAGGCCCATCCCACCGCTTTCCCAGACCACAACCCTAATCCCATCGAAAGGCTGACGCCACCGTAGTATGAGCAACGCATACCAAATTGCAAAATGGCGCATACCTTGGCCCACTTGGCATTCGCTTGATCAATAATACGCTTTCCATAAATTACGTACCTCCAGCAGGTGATACTACCTTGTAATACGGCTGCAATTCCACGCCGAAATCCTTCGGTCATTGCAACCTCAAAGGAAAAGTGCTTAAGCATTGCACATAAGAAGGCAGTCCCGGATAAGCGAACAGATAAACATAAGACATACACTGCTCTAACTTCCAAGACACAATCACAATCAATCACACTGCGAAACTTGCGAAGCTCGCCACCATGGCCACAACCACACCACAAAACACGTACAAAGGCTCATGTCTCTGCGGCTCTATCTCCATCGTTCTTACCCTCGATAAAGACCTCTACTCCGAACCTAATGGCCATCTCTGCCATTGCCTCAACTGCCGCAAATTCTCCGGGGGTCCTGCCGCCATGTGTTTCATAACACCTACAAAGACCGTACAACTTACCGACTCGAAAAAGACACTCAAGGTCTACCAGGATAGCAATACGGGCAGTGGAAGGACCGTGCCTAGGAGCTTCTGTTCTGCATGCGGGAGTCCTGTCGGATGCGTGCCAACTTTGATGGATGAGAGAGTGAGCATCGTCACTCTCGGTTTGTTTGACAAGGTGCCCGCTCCTTGTTTTGAGGTAGGTCTAGGTCGAGCACAAACCTGGACGCTTCTATGTGCTGATGCGTTTTGCAAGTGCTATACAAGCCAACGACTGCCTTGGAGCCCGCCTGCTGCTGATGCTGAGAGGCAGTATCAATTCATCGACGAGGTCATCAATCATGTTCCATCATTAGAATAATGAGGCCTGTGTTGACATTCTGTATCGAACCCAAGATTTCAAGTGGAATCTTTCATCGCTGCTTTGGTCGCCTATACTTGATAGGAAGAGGCTGAAGTGCATTGTCATTCTGTAATTCACCAAGCATCGAAATTGCCAAATCCGCCGCCCTTCTTGGCCTTCTTGATCGGCGGAGGCTCTGGCTCATCCCACTCACCGACCACCTCATCTTCTTCCGCAGGGGCGCTCTGCTTCATATACTTCCCAACTCCACCAGCACCGCCACCATTCTCCACCTTGCCGTCTGCTCTGATCCTCTTTCCAGTCCACGTCGTTCGATCATCCTCAGTACCACCCTCCTTCCGTATTCTCTCCTTCCGAGCCTCATCCGCTTCTTTCTCGTCTCTCTGCTTCAAAAAGTCCTCGAATGGGTCGACGTACACAACCACATCTTCCATCACGAGGTCCTGGAGCGGCCGGCTCTTGTCATCCACCTCAACCTTCTCCAGCCGATCCAAGGTATCCAGTCCTTCGACTACTCTGCCGAATATCGTATGTTTGCGATCCAGGTGCTTCGCTTGCCGATATAGGATGAAGAACTGGCTCGTGTTTGTGTCTTTCCCCTTGTTCGCCATGGAAAGTACGCCCCGTGAGTCATGCACCAGCGGTCCCTCGAATTCATCGACGAAAGTCTTGCCCCAGCATGACTGTCCGCCTCTTCCGGTGCCTGAGGGGTCACCACCTTGAATCATGAAGTTCTTGATGTTTCGATGAAAATTGATGCCATTGTAATAACCACGTTTGGCAAGGTGGATGAAGTTCCAAACAGCTTTTGGTGCGTATTCTGGGTACAGCTCAATATTCATGGCGCCTAAGTTTGTTGTTATTCGTGCATAGCCTTTCTGCTTGACGCGCTTTGGCTTCAGCATGTATTCCTCATCGGTCATTATAGCTCGCTCAGTCGAAGTATTTGGTGTCATTCCAGTGCTCGTAAAGGAGGCAGCCGCCAAACCATTCGTATATTGCGCGGCATTGTACGGTGTCGGCTTCGTTGTTCTCGATGACTTGGCAGTCTCTGCATGTGCTTTACGCGCATTCGCGAGTGCTTGGCCTTCTGTGGAGGGGCTATTCGCAGCTTTTTCTCTGTCGGCTCTCGCTTTCGCAACTGCCTCCTTTGCCTTCAGTATCTTTGCTGCTGACCCCAAATTCTGGTCGTTCACTCCAGCACTTCGCTCCGCCTCCTGCTCTGGCGTGAGTGTGCTTTGGCCGTCCTGCAGATACTTGAACTGGCTCAAGTTCCTTGACTCAATATTTTGAGGATCTTGTAGCGTGATGATATCGCTTCGCTTGAATTCCTCATCGTTGAGCAGATCCCTCCAGTTCTTGGCCTTGATGTTCAGTCTCTCCACTGTATCATAGCTGAAAACATTCCCTGTCGTTTTGATTCCAACCAGATGTGTGTTGTCCGTAATCACTTTGAAGGTCACTGGATCCACGAACTCGCCTTCCTCATTCTTCAAGAAATTGAGCTTGATCAAATCTGCACTCTTCAAAGGCTGCCCGTTCACCGGGTTTGTGCCGTGCTTGCGAATCCATGGCAGAATGTTCGTCAAGTCGAATATCGTGCCGTCGGCTGTGCATACTGGATGTTCGAATGGTTGGAGCGATACGGCGCAAAAATTGAAAGGAAGTCGTTTGAAATTGGCGCCGGCACCAGCGTTCGCAGCCTTCCTCGCATTTGCGCCAGCGCTGGCAGAGAAAGCATCTTCAGATGACCACTCGCTGTGGGTAATGTAGAGTTTGTCCGTGCCTGTGACCTGTCAGCGCTACGTCAGCGACAACACATGTATATTGAGTGTTCGCGACTCACCTTTGCCCATCTTGAGCGCTCGACACAGCTAGAGAGGTGTGATGTAGAAGTTGTCGTAAAGAGCTTGAAATGATGGAGGTATAGACTTTCGGTTCCTGCCTGAAGTTCTGCCTGAAATAGATCCGCTAGAACTGGTTCTTAAGGCAACATCGCCTGCCACGTTGGCGCTGCCTCGAGTGCACGACAGACGAAACAAGCCTCATTTCTGATGATATTAATGTGCTCGTTGGTAGAGTAGCTATTAGGCGAAATACAATCTTTAAAGTCATATCTCAGAACGAGTTTGATATAGGTTAGCGCAAGGAGCGATAGCGAGACTAATATTAGAGATATAAAAACCCTAGCAATAGCAATAGCAATAGTAAGTAGTAAACAATAAAGTCAAATTAGCAATAACAATAGCAATAGTAATAGTAATCCCTAGAGATATAAAAACCTTAGTAATAGTAATAGTAATAGTAAATTGTAGATAGTAAAGTTAAATTAGCAATAGTAATAGTAATAGTAGTAGTAATCTTAGGAAGAAGTCTACAGTAATAGCAATAGTAGTAGCTATATAGCAATTGCCATTTGTCTAAAGATAGTGTATTCTATACTATCTTTACTAGTATATTTCTAAAAATAGTATACTAGTAAAAGTATAGTAATTACTATTTTGCTATTACTCCTACTATTAGTACTATTACTATTTCTTAAAGATCTCTAGCAATAGTAATAGTAATAGCAATTACTATTTAGTAATTACCATTACCCCAATTTATTATTCACTATAGTAATTACTATTTGCTTATTTGCTAGGGTTTTTATATCTCTAGCTTAGACTATCTATCTTAAATTCCTAGCCTAAATATAACCCGATTATCTGGATATAAGACGCTCGAATAAGACTAGTCGTAGGGTAGAGTAGCTAAAAGATATATAAAAATCGTATATCTAAAGAACTTTACCGCTATATAAGCCCTCCTTTTAACTAAATACCTACTATCGACTCGCTTATAAAGCTAGACGCGAATTCTAAGTTCTAACGTAATATACTAAATACTCCGAGAGAGGGCATTCTATTACTACTATTTTTTTACTAAAATCGCTATATCTATATATCGCGTTGTCTTAAAAATCTAGCTCGAAGGACCCTAGAGAAATTCAGCTTCACTTAGGATAACTAACACACTAACTAGGAAGTGTTGTAGACTACTATCGCGTTCTAAGACTAGCAGCTTGCAATGTATTTGTTTTGATTACTAATCGTATATATATCTCGACTACCGAGGCTAGTAAACTTCGATAGCTAAAGGCTCTTAGACTCTACAGCTATAGGCCTAGGTATCTTTATAATATATATAATGTAGCTATTTATAAGGTTCTAGGAATACGATACTAGTTTTAGAGAATATTATAATTTTAGTTTCTATATATATCTATGCCCTAGTTTATAAAGGAAAATTTACTAATCTTATATTTCTTAATTATAGTTATGCTTTTTTAAGTTATATAGTAGTTTGTTCTAGCTATAGTATATAGTTTAGTAGGGCTTAGTATAAGTACTAGTATCTAAGTAGTAGTTTGCTACTATAACTAGTCTGGACGCGCGCTATTAATTCCCTTAGACTCTTAGTTAGTAGGCTTTAAATATTTAGTTAAAAATTAAATATATCTATAGCAAATTGTTAGGACTAAAGAGGTTACACGTAATTGGCATATAACCGGGCTCGAGTAAAGCTAGGGTCTTAATGCCTTAGGCAGGGCTTAGCGCTTAGCAATAGGCTAACTTGCCTGCCTTCCTCCCTCTCCTCTTAGCTCCTTATCGAATACTACTTGTACCTACTACTACCCTATCTACCTGCTAATATAACCCTTCTTATACAGTATTCGATCTACCCTTTAAGGGCAGTAGCTAGATAGTCCTTATTTCAAGCTTTTAGCGGTATAGCTACGAACAAGACTAATCTAACTATAGTACGCCCGAAGAACGGGATCTATACGCACTATTCTATCGAAACAACCGTACTAATTATTAAGCAAGGCCTTCTATACGGCCTATTATACTAAGTTAATCGTACTAGACTAATATCTACTAATTCCGCTATATCCGTATCTTAGGGGCTAACAATACATTATTAGTATTACCCCCTATTATAATAGCCGGCTTATTACAAAGCAACAACAACCGTGCTACCGCTAGCAGCGCTAGCAACGATAACGCTAGTAGCACGGTGCCTACTAAAGTGCCTACTAGAGCACCTGCTAAAGTGCCTCCTACTAAAGAGCCTACCGGAGAGCCTGCTAAAGAAGAACCTGTAATTCTAGGTAATAATCCGGAATTGCCTATTAGCGACATTCTTAACAACATTGTTAATCGACGATATAGCTAACTAGCCTTTAGCCCTTAACTATTAGGGAGACTTTAAGAAGCTACTTAAAACAGGCTTACTGCCCTACGTTAAGAACAATAGCTAAGAGATAACCTCCTCGAGCTCCGTCGCCTTTAGGAAGCCCTAATAACTACTACTAAACTAATAGCAGGACCTTCCTTATTATTAGTCTAGAAGAAGGATGCTAAACTTAAGGACTGCACTATGTTTAATAGCTCTAGTCGGAAGCAATATAACGACTATATTCGTAACTGTAAGCTTAACTAGCGAAACGCACTAAAGGCTCTTCTAGACGACTATTTATTAGTTGTCTACGCTATATAGTACATTAATGGCGACCTGAAACGTACCTAGGATAACCATTTTGATTCCCTCGATAATTAGACCGCTATTTAGTAGCAAACCTACAAAACTATTATACTAGACACCCTTAGAAACCCTATACTAAGGCAATAATATGCTTAGGACCTATACCTTCGAGCTAAACAAAAGACTAATCAATCGGCTTGTTTATTCGAGGCCTATTTAAAGACCCTCGAGGATAACCTTCCGCCTAAGACTAATTCTATATAGATCTCCGAGATACGCCTAAAACTTAGGTAGGAGCTTATCCTCGAATTAAACCGTCGCCGCGTATTCGAACAAGCTAATCTAATACGCATTCAATTTGTAGTCGAAGTGGAAATAGCCGAACGGGCTGTTTAGCTCTAATAGCGACTAGAATCAAGAATCCGACTAGCTAGTACTAACCGTAGCAACCGTAGTAGCCGCGGAGGAAACTAAGGTTCCTACTAGGACAACAATGCTAATAATAGGAACAGTAACGATCGTAGAAGAGGCCGTAGCCGGCGGCTATATAGAGGAGGCCGCGATAGGGGCCGTAGAAGGGGCTCGTATCCCTATAATACTAACCGTTCTGCTAACAATAACAATAGCTACGGCAGTCTACTAACCGGGTTAAAGTGCTTCAATTGTAATAGTACTAGCTATCTACTAGGCTAATGCGACAAACCTAAGGACTAGGCCCGAATTAACCGTACTTCCGCTAAATACCGAAAGTACCTCTTAGCGGCTAACGCTACCCCTATAGGCTAACCTTCGAAAAAAGAGTAAGCGCCGTACTAACTGTTAGCCTCGTACGGCGTAAGACTATCGACATTGTGCTAGCTATAACACGGTCCTGCCTTATATAGGATACGAAGGGCACTAACTATTAAACTAAGGTTATGCTAGATCTAGGAAATTCAGTTAGTGCCCTTATTAGCTATCGCCTAGCTAAGCAATTAGACCTTCGACAACTGCCGAGGACTAACCTGCTAACCCTTGCTTAGTTTAATAACGCTCGGCACTTAACCTATAGGGCCTACTATGTTCCTATAGTTCTAAAGGACGACCTCGGAAATAAACGCCTACTAGACTTTACTGCCTACGCAGTAGATATAGACAACCTATATAGGGGAGCTACTATTGTTATTAGTAACCCTATTCTTAAGTACTACGCTATAGCTATAGACCTAGGCCTCTAGAAGTAGCGATTTAGAATCGCTAGGAAAGAGGACATTAAACACATTAATATTAGCGAGTGCCCTAACGATATTAGGGTCCTGTTTATTAGCAACCTAATACCTGCCTTAGCTAATCCGACTGCCGACCTGCTCGGTAGTTATAACGATGAACCTATGCCCCCGAATAGCATAGACCCTAATTAGCTTGCTCGCATACTAGAGCCTATCCGAGAGACCTATATTAATATGTTTAAATATTACCTAGCATCGACATTGCCTATGTTTAAGGAGACAGATTATAAGATTAATATTATAGAGGGCAAAGAGGTTCCTTTTAGACTACTCTACAACCTTAGCGAGCGCGAGCTTACTGTATTACGTAAGTACCTAGAAGAAAACCTAGCTAATAGCCGGATACGGTATAGTAACAGCCCTGCTAGTATACTAATCCTGTTTGTTCTAAAGAAGGATAGTAGCCTACGGTTATACGTTAATTACCGTAGACTTAATACTGTTACTATTAAGGACCGCTGTCTACTTCCGCTTATTAATAAGACCCTCGATCGCCTTTCTAGTGCCTACTACTACACTATATTAGACATTAAGGACGCCTATTACCGCATCCGTATCCGCAAGGGCGATAAATAGAAGATAGCCTTTCGCACTCGTTATAGCTATTTCGAGTACTTAGTTATACTATTTAGGCTAGCTAACGCCCCTATAACATTCTAGTCCTATATCAATCGGGCCCTTTCGGGCCTATTAGACTACCTTTATATAGTTTACCTAGATAACATCCTAGTTTATATACACTTACCTAATATTGCGGAGCACTAGGCTATAGTACGTAAGGTCCTCGACCGCCTACGAGCCTATAGACTATATTGCAAGCCTTCTAAATGCGCCTTCGCTACTAAGGAGGTAGCCTTCCTTAGTTTCATCGTATTAACTAATAGTGTTAAGGCTAATCCTAATCGGATTAAAACAATTACTAAATAGCCTATTCCTACGTCTATTAAGGAGCTTTAATCGTTCCTCGGCTTCGCTAATTTCTACCGCCGCTTTATTAAGGGCTATTTACGGCATGTAATGCCCCTAACTAAGCTTACTAAAACCAAGGCTAACCCGTCTAG